CATCCATCCATCCATCCATCCATCCATCCATCCATCCATCCATCATCTTTACTTGCTTCTTCCTTTCCGGGTCACAGGGGTCACTGGTGCCCATATCCAGAAGTCACATTGGACAGGTCTCCAGTCCATCACAGGGACACATAGAGACAAACAACTATTCACTCTCTCACTCACACCTATAGGGACAATTTAGAGTCACTAAACATTACAAACATGCATGGTTTTGGTCTGTGGGAGGACTATTTGCTAAATAAAAACAAGAAAAGAGTAATAAGCGATTGCTTCCTTCCTTCCATCCCCTTTAAAGTCAGTGTCAACTCAGATGCATTTTTATTGACAAGTATAAGTCATAACGATTGTCACAAATTCAACAATTTCCCTAAACATCCCTAGGAGTTCTGGTAAATCCATCATCATGAAATGAAAGAAATATGGGACATGTGTAAATCTACTCAGAGCAGGCCGTCCTCACAAACTGAGTCATTGTATAAGTGGAGAATAGTGAGAGACCACCGAGACACCCTGAGCACTCTGAAGGAGTTACAAGCTTCAGCAGAGATGGAAAAGACTGAGCAAATAACAGTTGCCATAGCAAATCAATTTTATCTGACATAAACAAAGCTAGAACTTATATTTACTCATATTGAGTTTAAGTTTGTGGTAGAAGCTCAGAGTCATTTCATCACAAACTGTCGCTTCGTCCCTTCTCATTATAAGATTTGATTGCCATTGATTTTTATTGATTACAATGTGTAGCAGGACTCTCTTGCAGGACAGCACAGTGGCAAAGTTGGTAGAGCTGTTGTCTCTCACCAAGAAGGTTGCCGGATCGAATCCTGGCTGGGAAACTTTCTGGGTGGAGTTTGCATTATCTCTCCAAAGCTAATTGAACAAATCATTCTAAAAAGAATAATCAGAGCTTTATCACATTCATACACTGATGGGACACACATCGGAGGCAGTGAGGGGTTCAATGTCTTGCCCAGGGACACCAACATGTGACTGCTGGTGGAATCAAACCCCCAATTTTCCCATTGGAGGACGACCACGCTAACCACTCAGCCACAGCTGGCCCTGTCATGGACTTGGACCTGTCCAGGGTGTCCCCCATCTCTCGCGCAGTGACTGCTGGATATGAGCAGGTGCAGATAATAGGCAGATGGATCTATAATTATTCCCATGAAATATTTGGGAAATCCAATAATGCTCAGGTCATCTGGACAGTTTCTTGAGCGAAACGTCTCTACAAAAAAGAAACTGTCCAGATGACCTGACTGAGCATTATTGGATTTGGTACCTGGATGACTGTGCATGAACTTCGTTGCTTTATTTGGGAAATGTTTCTGCAGAGCATCATTTCCAGACACAACCAGGCAGCTCTCGGGGTACACACACTTCTCTGCAGCAGAGGCTGTAATTTATGACGCCTGTTCAAGAAGAACAAAAGCAGCCGGCGGGCATCAAAACACACCGAACAAGCACAAATCAAGCGAGACACATCCGTTTATCTAAGACATCGTTCACAGTTTTATTTGATTTCTTTTTGAACTTTGTGTGTTTTTCCTTTATTTTCTGACCAGGAAGCACTTTGTCATAAAAGGAGACAATAAAATGAAGAATACGTCACCATATTCCTGCAGCCCATAAACCTTTTTATGAACATGATCACAAACGTGTGTGAATTTTGTATACCATCTCATTTTATTCTCCTTGTTTAGACGATTGTAATATCCAAATAAGTTCATTCCATTCTTGGTTTCAGGGTAAAATCCTGTCATTTCCTCTTAGTTAATTACTTTAACCTTAATAATAGTATTATTATAATTTTACGGCCATGGTTCCTCACTGTGTTGGCGAAAAGAATAAAAAATAAATAAAATCAAAAAAAAAAAAAAAAGACTGAGGTCAGCTGATGAGAAAAAGGGAACAGGAAGTGTTTGCAAATATAGCTCAAACAAAACTAAATAAAGTAACATAAATATATATAAAAATACAATGATGTGCAACAAAAGTAATATTATCACGTTAGAATCATTTCCCCCGTAATACCATACACACCACTACAACTCATAACATTACACCGACAAACATAAGCTTGATAGTAATGATAATGAAAGTTATAGTAATATAAAAATCAAACGGAGGGGAAAAAGGCTAAACCATTGAAGTAAATTGCATTTAATAGTTTTCCTTTGGACCAAAGACAGGAGGCAGACCAGAACAGATAGACAGAAGAAAACAAAACAGAGTAATCAGTGCGAGAGAGTGCCCCATTCACATGTTTCTGTCAGAAACGAACAAACCAGATGCTACACAGACACGTCTGAGGTGCTACAGTAACGTCGCTCCAACACCACAGCTGAACACGATGAGTAGATGTCACAGTTTGGGCCTCTGTTCCTGACCTCTCCTCCTCCTCAGGGCCTCGGCAGCTACTGTAGGGGGTTGAAATAAGTGGCTCGTGTCTCCAAGATTATGTCGTGCTAACTCGACTGAGTTCAAGTCTAAGGGCTGTGAGGGAGAAGAACAGGTGGGAGAACGTTAGCGTCATGAACGACAGAGTCAGGAAGGTGGAGAAACTTCAGGAGCAGATTTATTAAATGGACTGAAATTAAATCAAAAGTAAGAAACAGAATCTGCACATTTTTCTCATATTGAAGGTTTATGTGTCCTTAAATGGTTTGTGAATGGCTGACAACTCCCACACGTTTGGTTTCCTACAGGGGGGGTCTGCAACATGTGGCTCTGGGGCCACATGCGACTCTTTAGTCTCTCATCTGTGGCCCTTTGAAGCTTTGACCAAAACTAACGTGATATTTAGTTTTATTTATTATTTTTATACCCACAACTGAAAATGCTAGTTTTGCAGTTGAAAATGCAGTTTTCTGTCAATTTTCTGTAAATTTGTGACGGATAATACTACTGTATTTTTCTGCCTATAAGTCGCAGTTTTTTGCATAATTTGCATGCCCTGCAACTTATACACTGAAGCAACTTATTTATGCTTTTTTCTCCATATTTATAAACCAATTTTTTGGCTGAGATATGACCGTTCTCATTCATTCTGACTGAAAATATTGAACACCACCATTTTCAGCCGCTAGATGGCACTCGAGTAGTATTGGCATGCCGTTGTGTCACGTAATAGGTAAAAATGGCCATGAATGACACAGTCGGCTTGCCAAAGTGGCCTCCTTCATCCAGCTCTGGGATCATGCCTGGAGCAACCGTCAAATCAGCTTCATTTCGCTGCGCCGCCCCGTCGAATTTAAGCTGATTTGACCATTAAAGTGCATTTATTAAGGAAAAGTTCAACTGAGACAAACCTTCACTATAAAGTTGAGCTAACAAACAATTGTTTTAGGTGTTTATCTTGTTCAATTTCTTCGAAATTGAACAAGATAAACACAAAGCGCAGTGTTCCTCCTTCCTGATTTCCTCTCTCTGTGCACTCCTGGAGCACCAAGGCAGCGAATACTTTTGAAAAACTGTTGATTTGACCGTCAAAGTTCATTTATTAAGTTAAAGTTCATTTATTAAGTCAAAGTTAAGCTGAGATACACCTTTGCTATAAAATTGAGCAAACAAATAATTGTTTTAAAGTGTTAATCTTGTTAAAGTTCTCCAGTGCATGCTCCCGCGGCCTCCATTTGGCAGCACATCGATTTTTGGCACAACACCGACCCACATATCCGGGCGGTCAGCGGTGACGCGTAACAAACACGACGCGGCAGCGGTGACGCATAATAGATGCGACTTATACAGAAAGCGACTTATTTATGGTTTTTTTTCCCACTTTATTAGTCATATTTGAGTGATGCGACTTATACAGCGGTGCGACGTTTACGGCGGAAAATACGGTAATACAAGGAGCAAAACATGTTGATTACATTTAGCTACTTCACTTATCCAACCTCCAGGCTTACAGTGGGATCCTTCTCTAAAATAAATAAATAAATCAATAACTTGTCCAGCAAAAATACCGTTTTTTTTCTGTACACTTTAAATTCATGTTTTATTACTTAAAAGTGGTATACTTAATTTTAAATTAGATAAAAAGACTCACATAAGCCTGCAGAGACTCAGTATAAACATTTTATTCCTATTTTTGGTCTTTCCTTTTGCCCTAAAAAGTAAAAATATCAATAAATGTGAAAACTGGTTATATATTTTTAGTTTTATAATGTCACTCCAACTGGCCAGAGAAGCTTTCTTCTAACGATCTCTAAGTGGCCCATGGGCCACCACTTGATAAGCAGGTTTTGCAGCTCCAGACGTTGTATTTAGTGAGCGAAGTGGCAGAAATGGCTCTTTCAATCAAAAAGTTTGCAGACCCCTGACCTACAGAAACAGCCCAAGTGACTGAAAATAGGTCCATCATGTCGACATCCATTAAAGAGCTGTTTGGAATCAAGACGTCCGACACTTTGGATGTATTTGTACATATTTACATTGAGGCTTGTTGAGTAAAGTACGCAAAAGAAACAATCTAAATTAAATAAAAATTAAAGTCTTGCTGTTCTTTTTAAAATATAACAAATGAAACAAATTCAGACAGAGATTTTACTTCTTCTCTGCTTTATTTACGTTGAGTGCATACCCACATTTTAGAACTGCATTTCAATATATCTGGAAAACTACTGGTCTAACCTCTTTCAAAATGCACCATTTGATATAGTTCAGGATAATCTTTTAAACTTAAGTCCGTTATTTTAAACATGCTTCTAAAAATATAATTATGACCTCTGTAACGTGTTTTTTAAACGTCTAAGTGAAGTGCGTTCTCATAGAAGAATACAAGAATGTCTAACCGCAAGGTAAATATTTCCTTAGCCCAAATACATGACATCTAATTGTTTATTTTTTATTTCTATAAATTCAAATACATGTCTGGAACAATGTCACACAATGAAAATAGTGTGACTCTTAGCTTGCACATGGGACTGGGTTAATTTTCAGACCCAGTCCCTTATTAGACTTTTAAAAAAATAAGTACATATTTAAATAAATAAAATTAATTTTTTTTTACAACTACCAATACACATCTAAAATAAACAATAAAATTATTTCTACACACAAATTTATGCAAATAGGGTGAAGAGAAAACAAGAATAAAGTGGAAGGAAAATATTTACTTTTTTTTTTTTTTTTTAATCTCTTAATTTTTTCATGTTTGTTGCCACATCAGCCTTTTTTGTTAGAAATTTTTTAAAAAAAGTGTTTTTTTTTTCAAGCTCCTTGAGCTCATCTGCATTGTTGGGTCTAAACTCAAACTGCAACAGATCCAGCTGTTTGGCTTATGTTAGATATGTGTCTTTAATCATTTCACCTGTGATTTGAAAAATTTTAAATCAGCTAAGTTTTATTGCCGCTGGCAAAATATTCAAAATCTGACGTCCTCTAAAGACAAATAGTCCAAATGATGTTTTTTCACCTTGCTGAGCTCAACTTTTCTCTTTAATGATGCTCCTGTTTTAAATTCACTTTGCCACCTCTGGATCGGGACCATCAACACAGTCAAAAATAAAAACTGATTAATGAAATATGTGTGAAACCTAAAATATTTTATTTCTCTTGTATTTAACAATGATACCACTTCATTGGATCTGATTGCATTTTTTTAAAACTTATACACCAACTGTGTTTGTTGGCCACAAACAGTCATAACAGAACCATTGTGTATATATATATATATATATATATATATATATAACCAGGCAGTCTTTATGGGCAAACATGATTTTAAGACACAAAATAATTTAATAATGTTTATGGTTCTGGACACTTTACTAACATGAGTGAAGATGGGGGTCCAAAACTTATAGTCTAATAGAAATTTATTTATCATACGCAGAATAATTTTAGTCTTTTAAGGTTCATAAGTATTTGATTTGTAATCAAATTACAATTAAAATTCATAGAATTGTAAAAACATGGTGTATAGATATATGTACATGGTTTTTTTTCCCCGCTTTGGGGATTGAAGTCTGCCATGTTTGACCTGTAGTGTGCGTTTTTCCACCCTTCTAAATGGATTATTTCAAATTTAGACATTCAGTTTTCCAACATTATTCATCATTTTGCAAAAACTATAACCTCATTGATCCACTGGCATCGTTTGCTCTAAAGTGAGCAGCTTTAAAAGGACTAAAACTAACTCATTGCTTGTGTTCAGACTTGTGTGAAATGAGTGTTCATGATGAATCTAGTGCGACCTGCTGGTTAAAGCTGCTCGAGCGTTCAGTCTGAACAGAACTCATTTTCTTCTTACTACCATGATTATTTGGATTATTTGGGAAAATCAAACGTACCATCAATTATTTCATCCTTAACTTTGTGCAATTCACGAAACACCTCGTCCAAGATCTCCTATGGGAGCAGAAACACACACAAAAGAGAAACATCTGTTTGCATTAGACATACACGGAAAACAAACCTGAGAGTTTATGTTAAGGTAAATGCCAAAGTCAAGCAGCGTTCTGAGTTTCACCTCTGTGCAAACATGAAGATAGTTCAGTCTGGTGAGTTTTACCTGTTTCATCCTATCCAGGTCTAACGAGTCTGTGTCTCCGCCACTCCCTGCAGGTCGTACCCTGCAGGATCAAAATAATAAACATAACTAGAGAAATTGCATTTCCTGAGAAAATGCAGTGTGAATGCTTATTGCTGAAGAACTTAATGAAAAACAGCTGAAATTAGCTAAAAACATGCCAAAATGTAGCTGAAATGGAAGAACAAGCCTAATTTAGCACAAGAAAGCAGAAAGGACACATATTTCCTGAACTAGATTTAAATAAGCAGAAATGAGCACAAAACTAGGAAATTAGCTAAAAAAGTTGCAATTGACCAAAAATAGCTGAAAAGTAGCTGAAAAAGGCAGAAAAAAAAAAACTATCAGAAGGAAGTAAAAGGAGCTGCAATGAGCTAAAAGGTGTGGAATTAGCAAAAAAAAGCTAAATTTAGCACAAAACAGCTAAAGGGTAGCTGAAATAGCAGGAGAAGCTGAAACTAGCATAAACAAATCTGAGAGGCGCATAACAAGTTGAAATTAGCAGAAAGAAGTTAATTAGGCTGAAACAGCAGAAATTATCATGAAAAACTTGAATTTATCTGAAAACAGCTGAAATTAGCTAAAATTGATAAAAGAAAAATAGCTGAAAAGGTAGAAAAAGCTTAAGTTAGCACAAGAAAGCAGAAAGAACACTTTTGCTGAAAGAAGCAGAAATGAGCACAAAAAGTGGATACTTTCTGAAAAAAAGCTGAAATTAGAAAAAACAACAGTAAAGTAGATAAAAAAGTAGAACTAAGCTGAAATTAGAAGAAGGAAATAGAGAGAGCATTTTTTTGTTGAAAAAGACTGAAAAAAGTTTAAATGAGGGCAAAAAAATGTAGAATTAGCTGAAAAAGCTAAACTTAGCATAAAACAGCTATGGTATATAGTAGCTGAAAAAGTAGCAAAAGCTGAAACTTGCAGAAATAAGCTGAAAGGAGCATAACAAGTTGAAATTAGCCAAAATAAGTTAGAAGAAGGGCCCTGTGATGGACTTGCGACCCGTCCAGGGTGTACCCCGCCCCTCGCACAGTTATTGCTGGACATGGGCACCGGCGACCCCCGTGACCCAAATTGGAAGAAGCGGGTAAAGAAAATGGATGGATGGATGGATGTTAGAAGAAGCACAACAATGTTGTAGTTGGCAGAATAATCTGAAAGGAGTGCAAAAGAGCTGGAAAAAAACAGCTGAAATTAACTGGAAAAAAGTTTTAAATTGCACAAGGAAGCTAAAAGAAGCTGAAGTAGAACAAAATGTGAAAGGAGCAGTAAAAGGTTGTGAACAGATCTAAAGATTTGAAGGAGGTAAAATGATCTCCATTCATTTTCTATGAGGAAAAAATGGCAGAAAAGGCTAAATATTTCAAAAAGCCAAAGTCGCACCAAAACCAAAAGTCATAGCAGGATTGTCCTGAAAGAGCTGAACGTTTTGATATGATTTGTTGAAATAGCAACAAAACTGTGGAACGAGAAAGATGCTGAAAAACATATGGAAGAAAAATGGATCACAATAGAGTGAATGCTTCATAAACATTCAGACGCGTTCCCTTTTCACTGAGGACTGAGCTGCAGAGCTGTCAGCTCTTACCTTGAAACCATTGACCTGTCGGCGGAGTTAGCCCGGTCCCAGGGCTTCTTAGCACCATCTGTGTGGCAAACAGTCGGACAGAATAACGAGCAGTAAACCTGATGGCCTCCTGTGCATTAGCTTTGATCCTGACACGTGTTTGTGTGCAGTTTTAGGTTTACCTGTTGAGTTCTGTCCACTTCGAGTGCTGGGGGACGGAGAGTTTGGATCGTCCTGGAGGAATACAAATAATCATCAACAATTTGCTCATCTCTACCTTCAGCACTTCATAAATGCTTTCAGCTCACTCACATTTTGGCCATCCTCGGGCTTCTCTGAAGCTGCTTTCCTTCTGGGGAGAAAGAAGAAGCCTCAAATAAGAACACAAATCTGTATTAATGGAAACAGGTCCACAATGACGATGAGATGAACTCAAGTGTCATGATGATCAAGATATGAAGTCTAAACTAAGCTGAATGCAACAGCAGCAAGCCGAGGCTTATTTCACAGCTGGACGCTCTGACCTTCGAGCCAGGAGAGCGTTCATCTCCTCCATCAGTCCTCCACTCCCCCCACTCGTTCGGTTGGCATCATTTTTGGCGCTCGAAGAGCTCTCCTCAGGCTGAGGAGACAATCATGGTAGACCCTGTGTAAGGTTTCATCCAAACCTCAAGGCAGCAGCAACAACAACAACAACAACAACAACAACAACAAGCCTCCTACTCTTTGGACTCGTCGTAGTTTGGCTCCAGCGATCATCGCAGCGAGACCCGTGGGTGCAGGAGCCTCGTCCTCTTGGTTGCCTCCTCCTATAGGCAGGGGAGGAGGGAGGTGAGGTTGAGGAGCCCCCGCTGTTGGTGGCGGTGGGCCTGGTGGGGGTGGCGGAGGAGGAGGACCCCCCATGTTCACTGGTGGAGGTATTACTGGTGGGGCCACGGAGAGCACAGCAGGGTGGCCTTGGAAAGGAGAACCTGGACACAAACATGAAAAAAACAAAGTACTTTTACTTTGATGAGCTGCGTGACGTTATGGAGGATTCAGGTTGTTGTTGTTTACAATACAGTAGTCCCTCGCTCTATCGCGGTTTGTGGACTTACAGTCCATAATATTTTACAGTACAAAAAAATGTACAGGACACATGGATGTCAACTTGAATATTACTCATGTGATTTGGATAGTACTGGAAAGTACTGGAAAGTACTGTACAGTATAAAGGTAACAAAAAAAAAACAACAACTTTGAACAGCTGTTGCCATTTTGTAGTTTTCTCTCAGTAATCCTCCACTTTACTGTATTCCTGCTCATAACAACCACATTTCCCAGAAGGCAACAGGGCCCCGCCCAGAAGCCTCTTTGCTTCTGCTGAAAAACCAGAGGTAAAGTTTTGATCTGAGCAGGTGCAGAGAAGCTGCATAGAACTCACCGAACCGGAGCAGAACCAGACCTCCAGACCCATGGGTGAACCTTGAGAGCTGGTAGCCGGCCCACGAGGACCTCAAGCGAAGACGCGCACCGAAAGGTCCTGCGCTGTTTCCGTAGCCCATTGGGACTTTTTTCATCCAGACTTAGAATCAGATAGACCACCTACGGTCCCGCGCCGGCCAACCCAAGGCCCCCCCCCCCCAAATAGCACTTCAGTACTCAAAAGCCCCTTATCCACGGGTCTTTTTGGTACTCCTATGTAACTAGTTGTGGCCGATTGCGGGATTTATCAACAATGCCTCTAGTGGTGGAACCCACCCCATTTTTGGGACCTAAATCACTGAGGTCCCAGGTCTGGTTCTTTTAGGGTCTAGTTGTGACATCAGCGCACTGTAGGTCACTGATTGGTCAGGGGGCGTATTCATTGGTGGAGGGCGGAGATTCAGTCTTCCACCGGAAATCACAATCCACCATTTTCTTTTTCACCCGCATAACAGACAACAAGAAATCGGAGGAGCTTATTTTGGAATATTTTATAAGGTAAAACAAATAATCATGGCACAACCGTGGTCGAATGCTGAAGTTCAGGCATTTCTCTGTTTGCTGGCCGATGAACAAGTGCAGCGCGAGCTAGATGGAACGAAACGAAATAAAAAGATTTTTCAAGAGGTGTCTGCGCAGATGGCGGTGCAGGGCTTCCATCGCACACCAAAGCAAAGAGGAAAGCTTAAAAAACTAATAGTTGATGGTGAGTGTATTTTATTTACTTTAAGCATATTTCCTTTTCCTCATGCAACCGTTTCTTTGCGTTTTCTGAAAGTACTCTGAACAAAAGAGGCTGACGCGGTTACGTCGTCATTAGTTAGCATCATTGCTAACTGTACTCTGTTGCTGTTTTTCCACTCTTATTTTGATGCAGAAAGTCCCACTGAAGATGAAGGTTCGCCAGATTCTGCTTTTGACTGTCCAATCCTCCCCGCTTCTGACCCTTCCCGACCACACCAGCTCCGAGTACATCTACACCACCGAGTACATCTACGCCACCGGGCAACACGCAGCAGAGCGGCACCAAACAGCACCCGTTACTAGGTAAGAAGCAACAATCGTGTTTAACATCACATTGATCATGTTGATATGAATGTTGTTTTGTTTTTGTTGTAAAACACCTTGCATGTATTCAAACTACTTGTTTATTCAGTTGTAATGGATAAATGTTAAATTTAGTTATTCATTTATTACTTAAACTTTCATTTATGAAGTTTATTATTGAAATTATACAGGGTGTAGTGATTTTTGTTCAGATTAACGATGCTCTGTTCTTTTTCTAAATTAGCACAAACCGTTGTAAATGACTACATGTAGTTTATTTATGCCCACCTGCTTACTATCATTAAAGTACTAGACTGCTTTATGAACAGAATCATTTCTGATCTTGTAAACAAACACCTTTTGAAATTAGCAGGAACTTTAATGTAAATAATTTATTTAAAAAACTCTACCTGTACTTCATCATCTAACAGCCATTTTCTTGTGTGTTATTCCTAGGCAATAGAAAGCGCAGATCAACAAGTGCAGCAGAGAGCTTTGTTTCTGCACATACTGAACAAGAGGAGATGAACCGGAAGCAGAGAGAGGAACACTTCCATTTTATTTGTGAGGATGTCAAAAAAGCAAGGCAAGAAGAAGCTGCAGCAGCGAGGAAGCAGGAGAAGGCAATTAGGAGGGAGGAGATGGCCTTGAGGAGAGAGGAAGCAGATGTTCGCAGAGAGGAAGCAGCACAGCGAAGGCAGGAGGCTGAACAGAGTGCTGCTTTCAGTCAGGCACTCCTTGGGGTGCTGGAATCCATTGCCCGTTCCATGGCAAACAGACATGTTTAAAAATATTTAGAGTAGATCATAGTTATCTATAGAAATGTAGATCCTGCAAGGTAAGCCCACAAATAGCCAAACGTAGCTTGTTAAGTTTGCATATATAATTAGTGTATAATTGTTTTTTTTTGTACAGGTCTTTATTTCTAATAAAAGAAACATTTTCAAGTCTTGAGCTTCCATCTGATCATCAAAAGTGAAGTGCTTACAGTGTTTTTTTTACGTCAATAGTGTAGGATAAGTGAAGTAATTGTTTTTTACCTGTAACAATGCTGGTGAAGATTCTCAGTTATCCTTGACACGGCAAATCCCCCCCAAAACAGATAAAACAAAACCACAGGACTTTTTTTAAAACTGAAGACATTTCGCTAATCATCCGAGGAGCACTCAAAATTCAATGAAAAAAGGAATCTGGGATTAAAGTTATAAAGCTGTGGTGTTCTGTAAGCTTGCTGGAGATTGATCTGCATGTGTCAGTCTCCATAATACAAGCTTACGGCACACCACAGCTTTATAACTTGAATCACACTCCTCGTTTCATTAAATTGAGAAAGAGCTTCGGATGAAAAGTGATACATCTTCAGTTACAAATAAAGTCCAGTTTTTTATTTATGTATTTTTTTTGGTTTTATCTGTAATGAGTACTGAAAAACGTAACCATAATACAGAATGTCCATGTGTTGTAAATGAACATTGCAGTGGAGTTAAAAAGGTGTAGGACTTGTGTAATCTACGTTTACAATCATCCTCATTCAGGAGGTTTTCAGTCATTGCATGTCAAACACCTCGGCCATGATGTCCATCCTGTGGATCCAGCAGCTTCTGTGTCTTTTTCACCCAAGGTCAAAAATTCTCTCCACGACTTTCACTGTGGTACAAAAGAGCACTAACTTAATATTACTTAACAGCACTTCAATGATGAAGATAATTTGCGACAGCTTAATTTAAAGAGCTGCGTGGTAAGCATAAACTCTTTCAGAGTTTATGCTTACCACGCAGCTCTTTAAATTAAGCT